TATATAAATAAATAATAGCCATATTTTTGGTTGTACTTTAGGATATCTTCTGGTTATTATACGTATGTATGTATGTATGTATGTAAGTATAACAACCAGAAGATATCCTAAAGTATAACCAAAATATGGCGGCGCTAATAAAATCAGAAAATGCATATATAGAGAATAATGAATAAATGAGTGACATTTGTAGAAACCAGAAGTATATCCATAAAATGTTAATATAAAACTACCTCAAGGATTGAACCCAACAACATCCGGAAAGACTTTTGCACAACATCCAGAAAGACATTTCATTGCCTATGAAAGACGAAGCAGGTGAGAACACTGGCCATAAACTCCGGGGGATACAAGATGCCAGGACCTCGACCCCTTACACAAGGCCGTGGCGCAATGAATTATTTGTTATATTATCAGGTTGTCTTCCAATAAAAATATAACTGGGGCAATTATTTGGGGATGAGGGCCACACAGTTGTGCAGGGTGGGTGGGCATTGTCATTATCATTAATGGAGTGATAATAGAAATGTGGGGTGATTTTATTTTTTATTGTCTAATTTAGAGGCTCCACTTTTCGGCATCTACCTTCAGAATGGTGGGGAATGTGTTAGCGTTTAGCAATCATGTTCCAAGAGAGCACCACGGGCTGCATGCAGCTCTAACGTCAGTTGCTTGAGGTAAGTTGCTCAATCTTGTTCAGAGCTTTCCTAAAGCTGACATGGAGGTGGGGGCTGGCAGAAGAGGCCTTGTTTCTTTCTCTTTTTTTGGCCAATATAATGTTCCTTAGAGGAGGGGAAGGCAAGTGGGAAGTCCCCCTCCCTTTCTGGATGTTGAAGTGTAGACAAGCTGATAATAAAGGTGTGCCTGCAAGGAATGTGGTCCCAAACTGTTTAAATTTTAAAACTTGGAAGGGGGGAGGCAGGCTGATATGACTTTGTGGTCCTTTTCTGCGGCCCCCAGGATATCTCACATCTTTTAAAGGAGTAATAAGTAAAATATATATATACGGAAACTTGTTTCCGTAACACATTGTTTTTACTTGGAGAACAAGGTTATTTGCCCTTTTAAAAGGATGAAACAAGTATTTTGTGCAAACTACTCATAAGATTTCAGGCATTCATGAAAGAATGGAAAATCAAATGGACCTTTTATATTCCTATATCTTTTCTCGATTGCATTTTGTTATTTGTATTCTACTGTAGCTTTAAGAAGAAAAGCCTTTTCTCATTCTCCCCTCTTTTTTTCTTTTTTTCTTTTTTTACACATGGCTATCCTGGGTTTTAAAAAAGGACAAGCCTACCACATTTTCTTCCATCTTCTTCCTCTACCCTTGAATTCCCCTCCCTGCTTTTCCATTGCTATTCCAGTGCATCCTCAGCATCGCTGGATCTTCCTCTCACCACTAAAGACATTAAGTCTCTCAGAGGGAGCTCAACCAGATTGACCTTCACCTGATCACAAGCAGACATTGTTTAACATTCTTCCTGTTTAATGCTCCTCCAGACTTTAAGTGCCTATGATTCTGTAAGTCCTGGGAATCCTTACAGCTCAACCTATTGACCACTAAAGCTCATACAGATTTTCCCTCTGTCCTTGATTCTATAATTTCCTTTGTTTGCATTGTTCTATTGATGTTCAGGCTTATCTATCTACAAGAAATATATAGAAACCTGCACAGTACCAAAATGCTGTAGGGGCCATGGAAGGAGCAAGAGAGATGCCTATGCCTTCTCCCAACTCTGGAATACAAAATAAAGTAACATTGCTTTTCACTCTGCTTGCAAGTGCTGCTGATTTCCATAAAAGTCCTGGAGGTTCCACTGAGATTTTCCTGTTATACCGATGGAAGAAGATTTACTGGCCCTACTGAAATCCCCTTCCTTTGCTGCCACTTAATTAAAGGGACGGGAGATCTTTTTTTCTCAGTTGACAGGAGCTCCGTGTTGCAAGGATTCCAAACTACTTTTCCTGTAAGTACACAGTACAAAGTTCTTTGTGGATCCTATAGTTAAGTAAGCTTAACTATAGGAACCAGTGTTTTAAGATTTAAAGGGCCCAAGCTTGTGAGAAGGTGAGGACTGCTAACAATTTTGGTCAAGCAAGGAAGCAGACCAGGAGAATTCTGGGGGTTTGAGTCCAAAATCCTAGTGGTTGAGTTTAACTCAGGAAAAGGTAAAAAGTAACAGGGTATTTGAGGATTTGTGTTTATGCATGCAAATGTGCCTGTCTGTCTGTGTTTAAATGCTGAGATACAAACTCCTAAGTAACCCAAAATTCTTTTCTGAGGTCACTTATAATGCAAGGGTGCCTCCTGGTCATCTCTATTCCCTCCCCCAACTTTTTCTGTGTGTGTGTGCATGCGTGCTAGGATTTTAAAATGGGAAGCAAACAGGGCAACCAGAAAAATTAAGTATGTGCACCCACTATGGCAGTGTTTCTCAACCTTGGCAACTTTAAGATGGGAATTCTGGGAGTTGAAGTTCATACTTCTTAAAGTTGTCAAGGTTGGGAGATGCTGCTCTATGGGTTGTCTGCTTGCATATGTCTAAAGGAATTAAATAAGGTGTCTAGGGACCCCTATCCGAGGTTGCAGTTCCCAAGAAGCAGAACATGGGACATGGACAAAATATCTCACTTGCCTGCTCTACTCATGTGTAAAAGGAAAAAGAAGGACTCTGCCCACTGGCCAGCATTCGAGGCTTGGGTTACAAGCTGGCAGGTACCCCCAGATTCTATCCTGGCAAACCTAAAGGGTTCTAATCAGAAAGTGCCTGTGCAGAACAGGTGATTATAGGACAGATGAGGAACTTATTCTTTTTATCCTCAGCTCCCCCAGAGACAAGTAGAATTCCTTTCAGAAGACCTCTGGTCCCAAGCAAAATTGGTTCAGGAATTGGTTTGGTAATGCCCCATGAGACAGCACCCAGGATCCCAGATATTATCAGTGTGCACCCACCCTGGAGTTTTCCCATCAATTCAAGAGAAACCAAATACTTCAAAGACAGTCCCTTGCCTCCTAGATCCTGGCGCTGCTTATTCTACTGCCAGAACGTAGTAATTCCCAGCTATTCCTTTGTCTTACTCTGTGGCATAAATTTCAACTCAATCTGCCCCCCGTCCTCTTTCTGAGCCAC